TGGTTCAGGATGGGCAGCAGGGGTTAATTGATTTCTAAAAATCTGGGTCACACAGTTGTACAATTTCACACAGTGGTGGAAGGAGATGGGCTGTCTAACACAACAAGGCCAACAAGGACACACAGTCTGGAAAACAGAGGAAGCATGTACCACACTCTTCCATAACACAAAATAAGGTGGCACCAGCTAACAAGGCCCCATAGTAGGGTGGGGTCTGAGTCCCAGTTTTGGGGGAATAGACCAAATTAAGAGAAAGGCCTGGAAAGACCAAATTAGTATGTGTGCATGTGATCAGCTATGTGGACATATGACAACCAACCAATGATAGCCATATATCAAGAGTCATCAGGAGTCATCAGGAGGGAAGAAGAATACAAAAGCGAAGACTTGAGAGTAACAAAAGGTCCCTCCTTCCTCCCTGTTCCTCTTTGTCCTCTTGCCCATTTCCTCTTCGTCCTCCCCAAGAGGGGTTCCCATCCCCCAAGAAGGGTCCCCAAGGCCACCATGGAAAGAGGGCACATCACCAGCCCATCTCATCCACCCCACTAGAGGGAGGTGTAGGTCTCAGCATCCCAGATCCAGGCTGCTGACATCTGGCACCTAAGAGAAAGCCTCAGAGTGAAGACTGCATCCTGGCCAGATGTACTTTGACTCTGATGACAGCTCTAGGATTTGGTAGATATATAGAATTGCTTGATTATTTGTATTGTTTCTTTTCTGTTATCACTGTGTATCAATACATTTCCTTATTATTGAACAGAAAGGTTGTGGTCTATCTGAGCCTGCCCCCCCCCCGAACAAGGCCTCTAGGTCCTAAATCCAGAGCCAATACTGTGCATGTTCTTTAGCCTCTTTAATTGCATGAGGTTTTGTAGCTAAAGTGCCCCTCAAAGCTGTTTCTCACATCAGGTGGAAGATGTGGAGTACTCGGCTCTGAAGGCGGTGGTGCGACTTGGGGAGCCTTTCCTGTGTGAATCCTCCACTAGCACCTTTACCCTGGAGTGTATGCAGGAGCTCTTGAAGCTGAAAGAACATCGGGTACCGTTGCTGGAGCTGTGGATGGTGTATGACAAATCGGGGGAGTTTGATCAGACAGCACTGGCCATTGAGCATGTTAGGTAGGAGTGTGTGTCCTCTAAACTGCTCTGTTACTTTTATTTTAAAGGGAAGAGAGAGAGTTTATAGCAGTTTTACTGTAGGACAGATGTGACGCCTACTATATACAGGCCTCATGTATGTGTATAAACTTACATATGCTGTTAGTGTCTGGCATTATATTGCCTAGTTTTGTGACCAAGGCTTCAGAAGGAAATCTAGTGCTTGCTAGCCCTAGAGCTAAATGGGTTGTCCAAGCGGAAGATGCTTGCATTTCCCCATGCTCTTGCACACGTGCTGGATTTCATTGTAGCTCACTTCCAACTTTCCACTAAAGTTAAAGAGCCAGTTCTGTTCCTTGCTTTTACTGGACCGTTTTGTCCTCTTCGCTTTATGGCAGTCCTTCTTTCTTCCCACTATTCACCATGGTGTTTCCTTCCCTCCATTCTTTCCAGTGTCTTTGCTCCTTCCTCTCTTCCTTCACCTCACACTTCCTTTCCCACGTTGTGAGCTCAGTCTCCTCCCCTACGCTTATTATTTTTCCCATATTTTTTTCTGTTCCCACACTACTTATTTTCCACCTTTCCTCTTAAGCTCTGCCTTGTATCTCTTCATGCACTACAAAGAGCTTGAAAAAAGCCCCAGATGCTACCTGATAGGGCTGGACCTGAGGACATAATATAGACCATGCCCAGCAAGAAGCATATGCCATCTATGACAGCTGTCAGGTGAAGGTTGCTTGGGTTCTTATCTAGATGCTCTTTTTTAGATCCTGCTTTTCTAGTTCCTGGCTAGTAGGTGTCTAACCTTGAAGCCCTAAGGGAGGTGTACTTGAAAGGTGAGAGCGATTTAACCTTTTTGTACGATGTGAGAGGAAGTCAGTGGAGGGACCTGAAATGGAGAGACATGGGGCCACATTTTTAAAAATGCCTCCATAACTTACAAGCGTGAGTCCCATTTCAAAATGGCTTGGTTATTTAGCGTAGGTTTCATTGAAAGTCAGTGGAAGCCAGTTGTGAATGTGGATTTAAGAGTGTATCCTGTATACACTCCCCTTTGCTTTCTTTCAAAAGGTTTTTCTACCAGTACATCTGGAGGAGTTGGGATGAGGAAGATGACGACGATTTTGATTATTTTGTCAGATGTGTTGAACCTCGATTGAGACTGTAAGTGTGACTTGGTTTAACTTTTGACATAAAAGCAGAAGAAGGGGAAGCAGGGGTAATGAAATTCAGACAAAATGGTGCTCAAATCAAAGCAAGCCTGTTTCGGCTTCAGAAACAGAAATCTGAAATCTTTTGCTTCAGATAGAGGTATAGAGAGAGCCTGGTATGGTGGGGGGGAGGGGGTTATGTTAACCACTGGAGGGTGGGGGAGGAGGAGTCCTATCTGCTGGGGTTGTCCTCACTTGAGTGGCAGGTGCTACTACTGTGGCATCATGGACTTGGGCTGTGGCTACCGAGGTTCGGGCAGCAGTGGGGAGTGTGGGCTCCCCGGTGCCCTCTTTGTTCCCTCCATCCCTGGGGCAGGGCTGTGTCTCCAGTAGAAAAGCTTCTCAGGGGAAAGTGTGTAGGGGAGCATCATTCCAACTGCCCTTGAGGCATTGGTTTGCACCTGCCTGGCTCTTATGGCTGAGCTGCATCTGCTGTGGCAGAGACTTCTGCGAGGAAGGGACCACACTGGCACCCCCTCTAAGTCAGTGTCCAGGGCTGCCAACTTGCTTGTCATACCCTAGTTATGGTACTGGCTTTAGGAATAGAAATCCAGAGACGTTGCACAACTACATTGCCTAATTTCTTAGTCTTTTTTCATGCCTTTAACCTGCCATTAGATGGTGCTCCAGATCCAGGCATAGCCTGTTTTAGATGTAAGCCTTGTTTGACTTTTAACTCTGAAATATGTGATCCTAATTAAGACTGGTGTGTTGCGCTCAGATACCTCTGGGTATAGAATAAGAACCCAAATGGTGCAGAATCTAGAGGAAAACTTGAAGAATGGGTGATGCTGGAGGAGGAATGTGTATTTCTTTCCCTGGGGGGATTACTTTACATTAGGTTTTCTGAAGGTGGGTTTTTAATACCATGCAGCCATATGGAACTTAAGCAGTATGCAAGGGCACAATCTGGTTATATTTTTGAGGGTGCAAAATCACTGAAGTGCATCTTAAAATGTATCCAAATGAATCATTGAAAAGTGGCTTTCCCCCAAGGTCTGAGGATGCATCATTCACTGCTTTTCAAGCAAGGTCTTCGCCTAGTCTTTCTTCTGCGTATTATAATTTAGAGTTTAATTTTAGGAGTGCATGTTGCATGCAAATTCAGTTTGTCAGGATGATGCCAAAGTGCTGTGTTTCCCCCGATAGTAATAAGCAAAACTTGGTGTGTATATAGATCAGTATAGTTATCCACACTTTACATCTAGGAAACTGAGGCCCAGGGAGAGTGATTGGCTTAAGGGTTCCCAGGAGGTCGGTGCCAGAGCCAAGTCTCCCAGGCCAGTGTTCTTTCCATGAAGTTGCACTGCCTCCCTTTCAAACGGGTTGCATGATGCCTGTTCAGTGTCACATTATAGCTGGGTCATGCTGTGCTTATGCACATGAAAGGGAAAAGTTACATGTGGAGATGACACACATTTTTCGTATGTTTTTGCCTTTTCTATGTTACCAGCAGATGGGGAAGCAGAAGGGAAAGTGCTGTTAATTTTTGGCTTGGAGGGACTTTGCACAGATGAAATTAAAATGTAATTGCATGCAAACAGACCTTTTTTTAAAGGTAGCTAATGGTCTCAGATGGGATTAGAAACAACGTTAAAGAGAATTCAGGAGGGAACTGTAATGTGCTTCAGCTTTGTTTTGCAATGAAAAATAAATATTTTCCTCATTCCCGCCACCATGCTTGTAGCAAAGCCTGTACTCCAAGCCATGCTGATGTTTATATGCTCTTCTGCTTTGATATCAGCCTTAATGTGTCAGTGGAGAAGTTAATAGTTAATCCCCTTATGTATTTAGACATGTGATGCTTCACATTGATTCAGAAGGTCTCCAGTGAGCACAGATTAGTCAAAATAGAAAATTCTTATGCTCCAAGTTTTAGCTTTAATCCCACTTGCTCTAAATGTCTGTTCTGGTCTTTTAAGACAAGAAAAGTTATGTAAAGTATTTTGGCAGAGCTTGATAAAATCATTTAGTTCTATGCATCTTCAGACTGGCTAGCTCTAAAATTGATAGTATATATTTTAGGGCCAGTTTAGGTAGTTTTAATGGTTTCTTTCTGGTATTTTGTCTTTATATATTTTATTAAAAACATTAATTCTCTTTGGCTCTTAATCAAATCTGATGAAAATTTCCCTTGTTTCTATATCTAAGAAATTGTCACGTATTTGTTTTTTAGCTGTGGTTTGTTTTTGTTTTCTGAACAGTCTAATAAAACCAAGCAGACATTGCTCACTCCTACTCTTGTGTCTGATTTCTGAGAGTGTCCTTCAGTGACTCTCTGAATGAATGCAAGTCAACCCAAGGAATTGTGTGGGTGCTTCCCTGAGACTTCCTGAGTGACTCAGTATGGAGAGATGTTCACTTACCTCTTTCAAGTGTACAAAGACAGAGGTGTCTACTCTGGTTGTTCTCTTGAGTAAACACGAGAGAGATGATCACTCGAGACTTCCCATCACACTATGTTCTAGCTGGCAGGTGTCACTTTGTCTGGCTTTAAGGAAGCAACTTTAGAAGTGAGAGATGTTTCCTGGTTTATAATCTCTTCCATTCTTTTGGGTCATAGTACATAACATCCTGTCACTCAGGCCTACGTGTTGTCTTTCTCATTTACCCCAGTGTGTGTTTGACCTTTGTTGGTCAAGGTTTTGCTTTTACTATTTGACAAAAAACATAGCATATTCTTGTTTCTGCTGCTGCAGCCAACTTCTTGTGTTTTCTGTGGGTCCCAATCTAGTCCATTTCAAACGAAAGGAATTCAACGTAGTAATAGGGAATACACATGTCCCTAAAGTCTGCTGATAGTTCTTGTGATCTTACAGGTGCATTCTCATCTTGACTAAACATGTTGCCTTCTCTCCTTTGCCTCTTATTTCTCTTGTTCCTAGCTTTGGTTTTTAGCAATGTGGAGGGAAGAGGGGGGCAACAAATATTTAAAAATGTGGTACATGTGTTATAGCAGAGACAAAGATTATATTATATTATATTATATTATATTATATTATATTATCGGACCAACTGCATGGTTGGGATAAAGTTAGGTGAGCTTTTGAAAGCAAAATATTTTTCATCATGTGATTGTTAGTGATCTTCCCAACAATCACTATCATCAGTGCAGGCAGCTTAGAATCTCTGACTTGAGTCCTGACCCAAAGCCCATCTATGTCAATAAAAATATTTCCAGTGATCGTGCTGTGGAAATCAGAGAAACATTAACTCTCCTGTCCTTTGAACTGCAGATATTATGACATCCTTGAACATCGTGTCCCTTCTGGGCTTGTTGCTGATTATCACAACCTGTTGTCTCAATGTGAGGAGCTCTACAAGAAGTTCCTAAACCTGAGGAATAGTATATCTAGCAGTGATTCTGACTCAGAGGCAGAAAATGTCTCCATGGTGGAAGGGCTAAAACTGTACAATGAGGTGGAACATCTGAAGCAAAAGCTAAAACTCATTGAGAATCCTCTGCTGAGGTACAGTGTGTGTGTGTGTGTGTGTGTGTGTGTGTGTGTGTGTGTGTGTGTG